CACTGACCTTTAACAAAATACAGTCGCTCACAGTCGGTCGTAGGTCGTCGTTCACAGTCGCTGCTGCTCGTCACTCCGGCGAAGGCCGTCGTTCACTGTCGTCGGTCACCGTCGTCGGTCACAGAAGATGGAACAAATTTGAGATTTTTGATTTTGAATGATTTTGGAGATTTTAGGGATTTCGGTTTGAGCAATTTAGGAATGATTTTAGGAACCAAGTTTCGGTTTGAGGGAATTCGATTTTAGGGATTTTGGAGATATGAGGAATTTAGGAATTTAGGATTTTGGATAGAACAGCGGGAAGCAAATTTTATTTATTTGCGACGGTATATTTTAACCGTCGCAAATGAGCGTAATTAATAAATGAAACGACGTCGTTTTACCAGAGTTTTTTTGCGATGGGCTTCTGCTGTCGCAAATGGTCCACCATTTGCGACAGTAACATTTAACCGTCGCTAATAAGACGTTTGTTGCGACGGTATACCGTGCGTCGCCAATATTTCTGCAAATTTCTTTTTACAACCTTTAGCGACGGAATACTCCCCATCACAAAAGGCCATGTTTCTCGACAGTAGATACACGTCGTCGCAAATTCGTCTTTTGGCGACGGCAAATATATACCGTCGCAAAAAATTCTTTTTTTGGAGACGGTAACTATTTCCCGTCGCAAAAAAGGGTTTTTTGCGACGGTAATCACCCCGTCGCAAAAACCTCCGTGTTATTAGCCAGGTTTTCTTGTAGTGAATATCATAACAAATCATGAAAGGATATATTTGGTATTTTAAGATAAAAAATTAAATGACGTGATCAAATTTCATTTAATTGTTTAATGTGTGATTAATGATATAATTGTATGTGTTATGCAATTAAAATTTTAAGAGAGGCCAATGTGATTCATTAGGTTAAATGTAATTATTGAGAGGGTAATTTTTGGTAAAAATTGGACCGAGCTGTGTGATGGGAATTGTGGCCCAAAGTGCCAAAGACTGGGTGAAAAGGCCGCAATGTTACTCCGGCCCAGGAGAGGTATAATTACTCCGGCCCAGAAGAAGTATAATTACTCTGGCCCAAGAATTGATAAAGTTACTTCGGTCCGGTACAGCTAAGAGTTATACCGGTCGCAATTGGTTAAGTATTTTCCAACCGTGCCATGGGTTGAGCAAGAGAGAACCAAGATAAGGAGGGGAAGCAGAACCGAACTAAGGAAGTTCGGTCTACTCAGTGGCTCTGTATAGTCAAGCTTGTTTCGGTCATATTGTAGTTCGGCCAAAGTAAAAACCATCCCACTTGGTTTAAGTAGTGGGGGGTGTAAAAGAATAAGATATATCCTTAGGAGTATGAATCCTAGGAGGACTCTGCGTGGAGGAACAAAAGTCCTACTAGGATTGTGCCACACGAAACTTATAAAAAGCTCACAAACATTACCTTGGAGGAGGTAACAGAACACAACACACAATTTTGCTTTCTGAAAACATAGAACTTTGTCTATTTGTCAATTTGTCAAGTTTACTGACTTAGGCATCGGAGAGATTTCCGGCACACACCCGCCGGCTAGCTCACGTTTATATTTTCAGGTGACAAAGCGACGTTGTACGGAGAAGCGTGAATTTGGTCAACATGATTATACGAGAAGGCGTATTTCTTTCCCGTACAATTATTATAATATTCAATCAAAAGTTTAAGTAATTTATTTATTTATTTATTTTTTTGTATATGATTCTGCATTAACTTGGATGAGGTCTCCATTTATGAGAGAAATAGAATAATGTCACGACACCATAGTCAAATGTTCGGCTCACCCATCATTGTTGGTGACGGTGAGCCTAATCTCCATAGTCCTTTTCTACAGTTTTTAATGTGCTTTAAGCTTATTATTAAAAAGTGCATTCATGGAAAGTCCTTACATTCTAGAGTTTGGAAAAAATATATAGTAGTGTTGAATTAATCATGGCCGTCCATCAAGTCTAAGTAACTAAAATGAACTTGACCATACAATGAGAAATTAGTCAATTTTTTTGGAACGACATGTATTCATACTTTTTTATTAATCCTTATATATTATTTTTTTTTTTATATTTTTTAATCATTTAATATAAAATTATAAATTTTTTTTTTTTACCCATCACAATATTTTAAAACACAACGTGACCACACCCAATAGCCACTCACATACCATACTAACCCACTCCCATCAAATGAAACTTCCTCATTAAATACCAAACCATTAAATATTCCAGAAACGTCTTCATCTTCTTTTATTAATTGTCTTACACTATGAGGTTATTTGGGAAGAGATTATTTTAATAAGTTTTTAGTTTTTTGGTTAAAATATAAGATAAAAAAATTAATATATTTAGGATGATTTTTTAATTTTTTATAAAAAGATGTGTAAAAAGTAGAGAGAAAAATAAATCTTTGACTTTTTTATATAAGTTGTAAGTTTTTTGGATTTTTTTGTGACTTTTTAATTTTTTAACTAAAATCACTACTTGCCAAACGAGACCTATGTCTTCTCATAAGTTTTATTTTTTTTATCAATCATAACATCTTAGATCATCTCCAACGGTTCAACAAATTTGGCATCAGATTTGAAATTTGGTGAAAAATGCACTTTTTGGAGCTCCAACGGTTTCACCAAATTGGTATCAAAATGAGAATTGAACAAAAAAATCATCAAACTGAGAACAGAATACAGGTTTCACCAAATTAATGTGCGTAATCGTTGGAGGAGACCAACCGGTCGACTAGTTCCCTTTTAAATAGGTAGGTTCAAACCGGTCAAAAAGGTTCAAATAGGTAAAAAAAAAAAAAATTTCCTTACCGGTCGACCGGCCGATCAACCCACCGGTTGTCCCTTGCCTTTGATGACAACCATTGGAGCAGCTCATATCAGATTGAGAAAATGGTCATTTTTTTACTCAGATTTGATGGAAAAAAAAGTGAACCATTGGAGATGCTCTTAAAATATTACATAATCATACTTCGCACCGAATAACCAATCCATTAAACATGAAGTTGAAAAGCATCCCGATTTTAAAATCAATTCAGCTTTCATTTGGGATGTAGGTTAGTTTTTGACTTTTTGATTATTTTAACTTGAGACTATAAAATCTTGTTTGGTATAGACCTTTTATTTTTTTGATTTTTATAAAAAAAAATTAAAATGATTGTAATTTAAATATAATATTTTATCTTATTAAATTAAAAAGTCTATTTTATTTATTTTTATTAAAATAATCTCAATTCAACCCAAACCTTCATGACAAAAATATAAGTTGAAATAAATCTAACAACGTTGCTACAGAACTCAAATGGACGGTGGCCCAAATGGCTCAAAAAGTGTTTTTCCTCTAATTAATGATGCACGTGGAACCCACGTGTGCTGGTTTGGAGATCACACAAGTGAAATGAAAAATAAAACAGAAAAGAGAGGAAAGAAGAGAGAGAGGGAAACTAGAACAAAAAAGAAAGGAGAGAAGAGAAGAGAGAGAGAAGGAAGCCAGAACGAGAAGAACGACGAGATAAATCTAGCTTCTTGATTTTTCCTTGTTAAACATTCACAAATTGATTTTTGGAATTCCTTGTTAAACATTCACAAAATGATTTTTTCAACATTCACAAATCCCCTTCCTTCCTGTTCTAATGTTAAACATTCACAAATTGATTTTTTCAACATTCACAAATTCCCTTCATGTTTTAATCTAATGGAAGATGTTTAACAGAGAGTGTGATTCCAGAATAACACAGAAAAAAAAAATTACAGATTCCACAAAAAAAAAAAATCAAATAGCACATCACAAAATTCACCGGAGAACATTGTTCAGTACTCCGGTAGTGAGGGAATCGGGTGTGAGAGTGAACTTGTGAGAGGAGTATCCCGCTGACCACCAAGAACGATGACAATCCTTTCCACAGTACAACTTTTTCAGCGTCATTTGGAAGGACAGAGGAGGTAAAGAACAACGACTTTCCGGCGTCGTTTCGAAGGAGATAGACTTGAATGATTCGGAAGAACGATGACAAACAGAGCAATGGAGAGAGACAGAGCAACAGGGAGAAGTTTGACACTATGTTTGGGAACTTAGTAGAGAAAAGAAAAGAAATGATTATTTAAGTTTTAAGAGAAAAGAAAAGAAATGAAATGAAATGATTGTGAGTTCTCTCCTTTTTGTTTGAATAAGGAAGAAATAAAAGAAAATAAATAATTGTGATTTCTCTCATTCTTGTTTGGTTAGATTTCATTAAGAGAAAAGAAAAAAAATTATTTTATGATATATTACCAAAATAACCTTTTTATATTTTCAATCATTTTATTTCTTTTATTTTTATAGGGACAAAATTGGTATTATAAAAATAGTTGTTTCTTTTCTCTCACAATCTCTCTACTTTTAGGAAGATTGAAAATGAGGCTTATAAGAGAAATGTATTTCTCTCAATTTCTTCTCATTTCTCTCCACTTAAGTTATCTAAACAAGCAAAAAAAATACATATCTTTTCATTTCTTTTTTTTTCTCTCTAACTCACTCAATTCGAAAATGGAAAATGTCTCGTAACTCAAATTTTGTCGCTCAAAAGTGGTTCAAATGGCCAAAACGGGCCATTTGAGCCACTTTTGAGCGACAAAATTTGAGTTACGTAGCATTATCGATTCAAAAATAGTGTGAGAGTTTAGGTATAACACTGAAAAAAGAGAGGAGAAAAGAGAGGAGAGAGAACGAGATAGAGGGCGTGTGAACCTACGCGTCAAGCCATTCGAGCCAAACTATTGGAGCCCTGAAGCTTTTTCCTAAATCTAAATTAATTAGACTACTTTTTAATGACAAATGATTCCATTTTTTTTACGGAAAATATTTGGTGGTCACCAAATCTATGATTCAAATGATCTAAAAATGTCAAAACGATTTTCAAAATTATTTTATACCCAAAATAATATCATTTTAACATTTTCAAACTATTTAAACCATAAAATTTGTGCCACCGATCATTGCTTTTTTTTACTCCTCCCTTGTCTTCTCCGAACGGAAAGCAAAGAAAGCTCCCCCTATCTCCTTTATCTAGCTGTAACGATCACCCCCAGCCGATCCAAGTCAAAATTCTCTCTCTCTCTCTCTCTTTTCGGATTCTGAATTACCCAAAATCAACCAACACCGCCTTTGTGAGTGAGCCCCAATGGGATGCACGCAATCGAAGATCGAGAACGAAGCAACGGTGGTCCGATGCAAAGAACGAAAGCAGTTCATGAATGAAGCAGTGTTGGCTCGTAACGCCTTCTCTGATGCTCACTTCGACTACACCATCTCCCTCAAGAACACCGGTGCCGCCCTCAGCGACTACGCCCACGGCGAAGTCCGAAATCCCCTAGCCGCCTCCTCCTCCGCCCTCCCCCTATCCAACTTCGAGCCCATCCGCCCTCCTCCCCCTCCCACCACCTTCCCTCTCCAACGCGCCGCCAGCATGCCCGAAATCTCCACCCACAAGTCCCACCCCAAGCTCTCCGATTCCATAATTGAGGAAGACGACGAAGAAGAAATCGACAATGAAGAGACTCACAGCTTGAAACACAGAACTTCTCGCAATAGGGGCGGCGGTGGTGCCAAAAAGGTGGGAGGTGAGGGTTTAGCTCCGCCGCTGCAGACTGATCCGGAGGCGCCACCGCCTCCGCTTCCGCCGCCGACTGATCCGGAGTCGGCGCCGCCTCCGCTCCAGCAGCGTACTGATCCGGAGTTGGTGCCGCCTCCGCCGCGACGAAGAAGAAATCGACAATGAAGAGACTCACAGCTTGAAACACAGAACTTCTCGCAATAGGGGCGGCGGTGGTGCCAAAAAGGTGGGAGGTGAGGGTTTAGCTCCGCCGCCGCAGACTGATCCGGAGGCGCCACCGCCTCCGCTTCCGCCGCTGACTGATCCGGAGGTGGCGCCGCCTCCGCTGCAGCAGCGGACTGATCCGGAGTTGGTGCCGCCTCCGCCGCCGCCGGAGTCGAAAGGCATGACTTGGGATTTTTTCTTTTCGCCCATGGAGAACGTACCTGGACCGAGCTTGGCGGAGGTTGATGAGGGTAGGGTTGAGAGGGAAGAGATTGAGAGGAAGATGTTTGACGAAAGGTCTAAAAGAGTTGAGGTTGTTGATGGCGATGGTGATGGTGGAGTGAAGAGGAGTGTGAAGAAGGCTGAGGCTCATGTTGAGGTTGAGGTGGAGGTTGAGGCTGAGGCTGCTGAGGTGGTGGCGGAGAAGGTGGCTGAGCCACCACCTCAGCCGCCGACAAATGCTGTGAAGAAAGGGAAGAAAGTGGCTCCCACAGAGGGTAAGAGAGGAGGGAAGAGTGCAGCGAGCGTTAATTTGCTGAAGATATTTGGCGAGCTTGATGAATGTTTTCTAGAGGCATCAAAGTGTGCTCATGAGGTTTCGAGGCTGCTTGAAGCAAATCGGTTGCATTACCATTCCAATTTTGTGGATAATCAAGGTATTAGGCTTTATTTGCTCATAAATTTAGAGTTTTTTGGTGTTCGAGAATTTGAAAGATCCTAAATTTGAAGCATTGGTGGGACTTCATACAAGTTCTTTGAAGTTTGACATAAAAAGAAAAAAAGAAAAAAAGAAGGCTTCTTGCTGAATCATTAACAATTGAATCTACAAAAATCACAAAAAAGGGAAAAATTGACAACAATATTAGTTGTATTGCAGAAGTTTACTCTTAGGAAAGGAACTTAATTTATGTGCACTGATAAGTTAAGTCTGAAATGGATTGGAAATGCTAGTGTTTTTCTAGCCCTGTTATTTATGGGAATGATAGGTGGACATCTGATGATTCTATTGAGAAGGAAACTGGTGATGCAACACACAATGGTTAATTTTTTATTTTTATTTTTTTCTCTTATATTGTTAAACAATGTGCATTTTTTGGGGGGAAGATAAGTTACTTTTCCAGAACCATTGTGTTATAATAGAATTTTCGCAGCCTGTAACACATGGTTATCAAGCTGGGAAGGCCCCTTTCTAGATATTTATTGATTTACAAACCTACCGTAGGCCCTATGGGGAAGGTGTTGATTCATTGCTCAGATTTGATCAGCTTGGAGTTTGTTACGAAAGAGATTCCTTTATCAAAACCCCCGTCTTTTTGGCTGACCACCGTGATTCCCTTTATACAATCCATCAGGCAAACAGCGGGATCATACAATACTTATATAACACACAATTCAAATGTGAATGTACAAGATCATCAAATGTGGAGGAACTTCGACCCCTTTTCATTTAGTTTATAGGCTTTCAATCTCCTCCGAAGTCCGTTCTTCTATCTTCACAAAAGTTACCTGGGTCTTTTGAATATTATGAAACAATCTGTTTGGCATTTTTTAAAGAACATAGATTAAATGAGCTATGTTACATGGGCTTCCCCTGTTTCATGTTATTTATGAAAAGAACCTACATTGTATGCTGTATGAAGTGAATTCCAAGTTTCTTGGTATGAAATACTGGTGTTTCTTTTCTATGTTATGATAGCATGGGCATTTTGTTATTATATTATCAGGGGAATTTGTTATTATATTATCAAAAAAAAAAAAATGATAGACCTTTTCCGATAGTATTTGTTAAAACAAAGCATTTGAGATATCTTAGGGGAATTTTGGTCACTGTTCCGTAACCTCTTTTTCATAATAACATATTTCCGCAAATGATTTTTTATTGCTTACAGTTCAATTGCTGTGATCTTTGTTTTGTAGGACATACTGATCATTCTGCAAGGGTCATGCGAGTCATTACTTGGAATAGCAATAGATCTTTCAAAGGTTTACCCAATGCTGACAAGGGGATGAATGACGTTGATTCAGAAGAGCATGAAACACATGCAACGGTGCTGGATAAGATACTAGCGTGGGAGAAAAAGCTTTATGATGAAGTGAAGGTACGTTGTAGCAGTTTGTTTGATTGAAATTTCACCTTTGTCCTTATATTTTTCTTTTTTGCAATGATTGATCATGATTTAGATTTTCTGTTTCTGTTTCTTATAACGATTGGAGCTTTAGCTTCAGTGAGATAGATTTAGTGCATTTCTTTCGATTCTTTTTCTTTTCATTTTTCTTCTATTAAAGTGTTACCCTTTCTGAGCATCTAAGTTCTTAAAATGGCCAAAAATTTGATGCTTTCATTTTGAAATATTGGGCTTAGCAATATATTTTCAGCATTTACATATTATCTCTGGTTCTCAGTTAACATTGCCATTTGTTTATCCCCCCTTCATTTGAAAGAAGAAAACATGAAACAAGTTTATGTTTTTTCCTTTAAAAACATATCTGTTTCGTCTTTTTGTTTGTCTAAATGGTACTGTAAAAATGTTGCTACAAAATCTTTAATATCTGAAGTGTAATAAATTTTTTTTTGGGGGGATAAATAATCAAATTTTATTAAAAAAGTATCGAGATGATGCAAAGAATACAAAAAAGAAAATTTATAAAAGGGCTTAAAAAGCACTAACTAATCAAATCCTCCATGAAATCTACAAAAACCAAGACATCAGGATCAATCGAACCCGTAGCCCAACTATGCAACACCAACAAAAGCCTACTTTCTAACCAAGGAACTGAATGACACATCTTGAAAGCCACGCTTATTACGCTCCAACCAAATCAACCAAAGCAAATAACGGAACCAAGCCTTTTGACGCCTTTTCCTAACCCTAACCCCGCACCAACTCTGCAAAGCACCCATCACGAACTCCAAATGCACCCAAGCTATGCCAAACAAAGCAACAATCAAGTTCCACAGTTGAAACGTAGCCGGGCAATAAGCAAGCAAGTGATCCACCGTGTTCTCATCTCCACAACACATACAACACCAAATCACCAAAATATGCCCCAGACAAATCAAGTTATCAATAGTCAGAATGCGGCCCAGAGATGCTATCCAAATGAAAAAAGCAACCTTGGAATGTGAATCCGTATTCCATATGCACTTCCAAGGAAAGATAGCACCATCACCACCTGCAAGTACACTGTAAAAAGAAGACACCGAAAAAAATCCTTTAGATCTCGAACAATCCCACACCAAAGAATCCCCTCCAGGCTCCATCTCCCCTATGCTTCATTCTATACAAGAAACCCAATAACTCCACCAGCTGATCCACCTCCCAATCTTGAATGTCACAACGTAGATGGACATTCTAAACAAACAACTGACCCTGCCTAAGCCTAACCGAAGCAACCATTTCCTCTCCATCAGTAGCAATGGCATAAATCAAAGGAAATGCTCGCCAAAGTCAAACCACCACACTACATGTCATGCCAAAAATGAATCTTATCCGCCACCGTTACTTTCAACCGAACCCTATCCCAAAACTCCTTCCACCCCAATCAAATCCCTTTCCATAAACTCAGGCCACGAGATTGGCCAACTCGATTTGAGCACCCCCCCTCCCCCCAACCACCAACTGCCAGACCATACTTCACCACCACCACCACCACCTTCCGTCACAATTTCTTCCTCTCCTCCACAAAGCACCCCAATAATTTCCTTAAAAGAGCCTGATTAAACATAACCAGCTTTTGAAACCCCAAGCCCCCTACCTCCTTGGGACTGCAAATCCGCTCCCAAAGTGCCAAATGATATAATGAAACCCCTCTCTCCCACCATCTCATAAGAAATCCCGTTGCAACTTTTCTGACCGCTTAGCAACTATCACAAGAATCACATGAACCGATATAAAATATGTCGAGATACTGGATAGAACACTTTTTGATCAAAGTAATCCGCCCCTCTTTTTGACAAGTACTGACGCTTCTAACTCGCCAACCACCGTTGCACACGGTCCACCACCCCATCCCACACCCCCTTCACCTTAGAAGTAGCCCTCAAAGAGAGCCCCAAATAAGAGACCGGCAACATAACCACCTTACATCCCAACATTGTTGCCAATGCTGGAAGCTGCACCACCTCACTCACTAGAATCAATTCTGACTTCGCTAAGTTAACTCAGAGCCCTAGCACGACCTCAAAGCATAACAACACACATCGCAGAGATGACCAATCTGACTTGCATCCGCATCACAGAAAATGAGCGCATCATCATCATAGTAGAGGTGAGAAACCACGAGAGTAGCAGGACCTATGAAGCACAGATACTTAAAAAATGGAGATGTATTCGTATCGGATACTTATCCGATACCAATACTCGTTGGATATTCATGAATATGTATCGGATACTTCTTGAAAGTATTGTCGGATACTTCTTAATTAATTTTTTTTATTAATTTTGGAGTAATTGGATACTTAATCTTGAAGTATCGGATACTCGAAATCACATATTACTTCTAGTTCTTTGTTTAGTTTTTTGATAAGAGGAATATAATGAGAGTTGAAGTAATAGAATTTGTCAAATTGATGTATCCTTATTGTCTCTCTCACTTCTCTCTCGCTCTCTCATGTTTCTTCTCTTTGCTCTCGTTCTATTTTTGGTGTTGGCATGTAAGGATGATGTTTAATTTGCATTTTCTTTTACTTTTAGTTTTGGATGTTTTATGAATATTTAAACACTCTTAGCTTAATAGGAATCTGTCTTTTTATTTATTAATTTACTTTAGGTTTTATTTTCATGTATATTACATATTAAAATTATAAAGTATATATATTTTTTTAACGAACGTATCCCTGTCGTACCCCTATCCTACTTTTTTAAATTTTGGCGTATCGCCATATCCGTATTCCCGTATTGTCGTATTTCGTATCTGTATCCATGCTTCTTAGAGCAAGACCCGTCCCCACCTCAAAGCCTGATAGCAAATCCCCTTGAACCACTCTATATAGCAACCTACTTAAAGCCTCTACTACCAAGATAAATAGTAAAGGAGATAAAAGGTCACTCTGCTGCAAATCCCTCCACGTAGGAATGAACCCCGCCGGCATCCCATTGACCAAGACCAACATCTGCACCGTGAAGATGCAAAACTGAACCAATTTCCTTCATCTATCCCTAAAATCCATCCTTTCTAGCACATACAGCGGGAACATCTAATTCACATCATCATAGGCTTTCTCAATATCCAACTTACAAATAATGCTCGTCTTTCCATGTTGAAACTGCGAGTCCACACACTCGTTAACCACAAGCATCCAAAATTTGATGCCCACCCACAAAAGCATTCTGAGACTTTGACACCACTCCCTCCAAAACAACCTGAAGCCTAGTAGCCAAGACTTCGGCCAATATCTTGTAAACACTACCCAGAAGACTTATCGGCCGAAAGTCCTAAATATCCTCCGCCCCTCCTTTCTTTGGAATCAAAGCTATAAAAGTCGCATTACGGCTCTTATCAAACTGTCTCGTTAGATGAAACTGCTCAAACGTGGCCAATACCTCCGCCTTCACCACACCCCAACACTGTTGGAAAAAAGCAATAGAAAAACCATTAGACCCTAGCGCCTTATCCCTAGGAATACTCTTCAGAGCACCCAACACCTTCTCCTCTGTGAACAATCTCTCCAACAACAACCCAACCGCCTCTGAGATAGTGTCAAAAACAACCCCATCTAGCCTCGGTCTCCACATCTCCCCCTCATCCCGAAATAAATGTCGATAAAAACCACTATACGATTCCTAACATCCTCCTCTGTTGACATGACCACCCTATTAACACACATTTTCCCTATTTGATTCGATTCAACCTCTGATGAGCATTGGCCATCCAATGAAAGAGTTTTGTATTAAGATCCCTATCTTTCAACCACAAACATTTAGATTTCTGATGAACCCTCCTTGTGAGCAACCCACCTATACGAGCAACCCATCCATACTCCTTCCGAGCCCAATTCAGAAGGGACAAATCTGCTTCAGAGAGACCCCTCTTGTCTTCCTTCTCATCCAACTCCTGCAATACTAATGGGCCTTCTGAGTCTCTAGACGACCAAACACTTCCAAATTCCACTACTTCAAATCAAACTTGAGAAGTTTCAGTTTCTAAGCTAACTGACAGCTAGGCATACCCACTGCATTGTAACTATCCCACTAGCTAGGCATACCCACTACATTGTAACTATCCCACTAGCCACCCACCTTCTCAACAAAACCCTCTATTTGTAGCCACATATTCTCAAAACAAAATGGCGATAGGGCCACGTCTAACCCTTACACTATCCAAAAGAACTGGCTAATGATTAGGGTGGAATCATGACACGAAAGGCATCCGTTATGAATTAGTGTTGGGAAAATCTCTATATTTTTCCCTCCTTGTGTGAATAGAAAATTGGCAACAAACCACAAATAACAAGCAATAATATGGCTGAAAATTAAAGGCAACAAAAATAATCACAAGGCACCAAATTTACGTGGTTCAGCAAAGTGTCTACGTCCACAGGTCTAACTCTGAATCAAACTTCCACTATAAAATAATAAAGTCACAAGAGATCATCTCTAGTCACAACTAGAGGCATACAATCATCAAGAGAATACTCTTGGATCACTAATAAACAATTATATTATCATCACAAAAGTGGGTTTCAACAAAATCAACAAAGGTAAAAAAGTTTAGTTCTCACCGAAGTGGATATCCCAAACTACCAATCTAAAGAGCTTTGACGAAATTAACTCTGATCGAAGTGTAGAGCTTGCTTTCGTGAACAACATGCTAGAATTTCATTAGAATCGGGCAAGAGTTGTACATCCGATCCTAGCTTCAAACATGGAAGAAGACTTAACCTTTTCTCTTCTCTTTTTGGTCTTTCTCTCGGTTCTCTCTCTGCTGCTAGGAGCTTCTATTTCCACACCCCTATTCCACACCCCTATTCCTCTCTGTGCACATCCTTCTTAGTTCACACACTTAAAAAAATATATATATATATACTCATTACACACACTTTTATTCCAATTATACACCCATATCTAAAGTATACACACATAACTTTCCAACACTCTCAATCCACACAGGGTCAGCATCCACATAGCTATGCCTTGGTAGGAGAAGCCAACTAGTTCCAACCTCCATTGTAGTCACGACTGAGAACTAGGGAATTCCATTGCAGTCTCCTACACAGGGAGAACCAACTTGCTTTCAACCTCCATAGAAGACCTCCATTGGTTCATTGGGAAGTACAGTATCAAATTAATATGTAAGGTTTGGAAGTATAGTTTGAACCAAACACATTGATTCGGAAGTACAGTGTCGAACCAACGTGTTCGAATGTTGAAAATCGAACCAATATGTTTTGTTCAGATGTTGAAGGTCGAACCAATATGTTTTGTTCGGATGTTGATGGTTGAATCGATGTGTTATTTTCGACCCTAGTTTAACGAACGACGGAGGGGGTGGCGTCAATCGTCTTCTCAAGAGAAGGGGGTGGCGTCGATCGGCTTCTCAAGCGGAGGGGGTGGTGGCAACACAACACCACCCTCGTAACCCCCCACTTCACGACGCAACACCATCGCCGCCACAGCTCCCACCCCTTCGCGATCCTCAATCCGCAGAGAAAGAGAGAGTTGCAAATGGCGGGGTGAGGGAGGGGTTTCGATTCGAGAAGAGGGGGGCCAGGGGGGTGGTCAGGCGACAGAGGGAGGGACTGTGTTGAGAAAGGGGACAACCGAAGGGGGTGGCAGCCAGCAGTGGGGATAGTTAGGGTTAGGGTCATGGTTAGGGTTTTGGTTGAAGAAGAAAGGGATAGTTTGGTAATTTTATTTTAGAGCAAGAATGTAATAAAAAAAATATCATTGAGCGTGTGGAAAGAGGGGAAGTAGTGTGTGCAAATAGAAGCTCCCTCTGCTGCTGTATATCTTAGAGACAAAATGTCTCTTTTGTCCTTTTTGTTTGACAGGTACAAACTTAGCTTCCATGGGAAGCTTCACAAGATAAAATAAATAAAACATTTGACTCCAAAAGGATTCTTTGGCTAAGTTTGGCATCCCTTAAAAAAGTTAAAAAGTCAAAAAGTTACTATCCTATTTAAATCATATCACCTCTCTACCATATCACGTCAAACCCAACCCATATTTCATAAAAAGTAAAAAAGTGCATTTATTTAAATCATCCCAAACAACCCCAAAGCCCCCCAATTAAGGAGGGAAACCACCCAACAATTAGAAGGGTTTGTTTCTCCATCAAGATTTCATAATAAGGGAATTGTTCTGCTCTTTTTATCATGCCATTGTGTATCACTCACCAAAAGAAGTGATAAAAGGGCTGACATTGGAGAAATAGAATGAGGTTTAGAATCATATTACAACTTTTGTTAATTTTTAAGGAATGATTGCCATTAAAGTTTTTTCTTATAAAAGGTCATCTGATCCAAAATTGTTGTTGAGCTGCAATATCTTGTATCTTTGACTTCACAAGAATCTTTTCAAGCATGTGATGGGCAATTAAATGCGCCATTTTTTCATCCATATATAAAGAGAGAGAAATAAAAAGAGTGAACGAGGGACATGAAAGGAGATGTGAGAGGGAGGGCACATTGTGTTCTAGCTTCTTATTCAAAGGAGAAGAAAAGGGGGATAGCTAAGAGAGATATAATAGAGAAGAAAAAGAGAGAGTTGTTCCATGGACGTAATTATTTTTTTATTGAGAGAGAACTGTCCTTCCTCTGTTTGGTCTTTTGTGCGTTTCAATGGTGTACATCCCCGTGGATGTTATAGCATACATGATTAGGCTTTAGAGTGTATACTGTTTCCCCCTCTCTGAAAAGTTTTTGTTAATAATAGTTTGGCTTATAAAAAAACCTCGTATTGGCTTGTCTTGTAAGTTGTATCTTATATTACAAGCTACACCTTAGTGACATATGCTTATATGTCATAAACAGAATTTGATTATTATATGATATCTTATTTGAGGAGCACCACCTATGGGTTGTGGGATGCTATCTTTATGTGGCTTTTATGCAGCTCTATCTATCTTATTATGTGTATGCTTCCTGTTTAAGCCATTGTTCCTATAGTGTGTGAGCTATCAAATTTTGATTTTACTCCAACGCATCTTCTTTGCAGTAATTTCTTGTGATTTTATCACCTTTCCTCGGTACTACAACACATGTGATAGTTTTACTCTAATCCATGTTCTTTTCAGTCATTCCTTGTCATTTTTTCGCTTCTCCCATTCCACAAAACATCTTTTTAATGGTGCCTTTATGTCTTTCATGGTCATTACCGGGCCAATTTTGTAAATTCACCTTTTTTGTTTCCTTGTTTCTAGTAGTAGTTTGTTTAATTGATTCTCATTTCGAATATTTTCTTACTACTCATCTTTATTATATATATATATATATATATTTTATATTGTATCACTGAAATTATTGGTTTTGTTTATATGGTTGATTATCATGGACAGCAACCCCCTGTGGCTGTACTTAGTTTTAGATTTTCACAGCTAAGTTATTTCCTCATTAGCTTAGGCATATGGTGCAGTACTTGTGCTAAGACATGGGCTAACTCATTTTGGAAACCTTTGGATTATTATGCATTCTGCCATTTTCTTGTTTTGCATTATTCCGAATTGTATTAATAAATCAATGAAAATGGGAAGTGCATATAGCAAAAAACTCAATTTTCGTGTTGCTATTTGTTTATTAATAATTAGCAAAAGGTGTGCATTGAAGGCTTCATGGTTTAGTTATCTTCATAGTACCCTGTTTCCATCATATACATTCAATATTCAATCATAACAATGAAAGCCCTTGGTTAAAGCTGAATTTTTGTTGTTTGCTGACTTGATGCTTAACAGATTGGAGAGCAGATTAAGCTTGAGTATCAGAAAAAAGTTGCTTCACTAGATAAGCTAAAGAAACGTGCTACCAATATTGAAGCAATGGAGAAAACAAAAGCAGCAGTAAGTCATCTGCATACAAAATACACTATCGACATGCAATCCATTGAATCAACTGTGTCAGAAATAAATCGTTTACGAGATGAGCAATTGTACCCAAAACTTGTTGCACTTGCTGGTGGGTAAGTTCCAATTCAAGGGGAAAAAACATATTGGAAATACATTTGTTTGGAAAACATATGGAACTTGGCTTATTTTTCTAAATTTTGAATTGTTCTTGATATTGTATGTTGTTTCTCTTCTTTTCATATGAACTTTGGTACATCTAATCTCTGCCTCCTCTTGCTTTTTCTTTTTTTCCTCTTTCTTTCTATGGAACCACTTTAGTGTGTACTTTATTTGTAGCTTGGATGCCTCTCCTATCCAACCTAAAGCCCCTTTTCCTTTGTACTTTGTTTAGCACTTCTTATGTCTTCCTTTTGTTTCCCTTTGTTTGATGTATAAAGCTTTCAACAAGGTGCAACCATAGTACTAGTTTTTTTTATTTATAAAATCAGGCATGTTAACGAAGTGATAGCAAAACTATCCTAGAAACTTTCTAAAAACAAATACTAGTTTCTGGGGATTCAAATTTGAGCCATAAGAGCTTCTTTTTACTCTTGGCACCAAGTTTATTGCCTTTACATTTGCTTTGTTAAGATTCTTGGCTACAACTAAAAGTCTAAAGTGTCTCGGTCCTGGGGACACTTTTGGCTGGTCTTATGAGGACTTTGCCAACTTCCACTGTGTTATTGTCAATTAATAGGGAATTTAACTCCAAACTCCCAATTATTGCAACATCTTTTGCTAGACTATATCTTGTCTTAGCCTTATTTTGTCTTTCCTTAATATCACTTCAGCGGTATGGCTAGATCTGCATGCCTTGACTAGCATTTTTTAGCAAAATGTGTCTGGTGTCTGATATGTTGCAACACCGAAGAGTCTTGTTAGTATGTTACAGTTGTCGTTAGACTTAACCTGGGTAGATTTGTATTGAACTTCTTGATTTACCCCATGGTTGGTACCTTGTTGCTACCATTGGAATGGAATGGCCAGTGCTTGTGTTTGTACCCAAAATAACAGCCCAATGAGGGTGTGCCACATGGGTAGGAAGAAGCTGTGAGGGATGACCAAGAAGTTGCTAAAATAAAGGGGGGGGAGGGGGAATGGCCAGTGCTTGTGTTTGTACCCAAAATAACAGCCCAATGAGGGTGTGCCACATGGGTAGGAAGAAGCTGTGAGGGATGACCAAGAAGCTGTGGGTCCATGATGCAAAATATAAGAAATTCAAGGAAACCTAAATTTAAAGAAGTGATGATATTTGGACATTGGCATGATTTCAAACATAGACTAATAGGAATCTTATATAATTATGTTTCTAGTATTATTTGAATCTTATTTTATGATTATTTTTATGTTTTCTAAGATTTTTAAGTCAGCGTATTTAAATAATTTTCATATTTGCTGACATGGGTTGTAGGGATCGCCCATGGGTTGTCTTATGGGTCAAGTTATTTAATTGGTTTTTATTTATATTTCTTATTTGGTTTTAAATTGGTTTTGAAAGTCAAAAGTAGTTTTGGTAGTTTTCTTTTCCAGTTCTAGTGAGGGTGTGCCACATGGGTAGGAAGAAGCTGTGAGGGATGACCAAGAAGTTGCTAAAATAAAGGGGGGGGAGGGGGAATGGCCAGTGCTTGTGTTTGTACCCAAAATAACAGCCCAATGAGGGTGTGCCACATGGGTAGGAAGAAGCTGTGAGGGATGACCAAGAAGCTGTGGGTCCATGATGCAAAATATAAGAAATTCAAGGAAACCTAAATTTAAAGAAGTGATGATATTTGGACATTGGCATGATTTCAAACATAGACTAATAGGAATCTTATATAATTATGTTTCTAGTATTATTTGAATCTTATTTTATGATTATTTTTATGTTTTCTAAGATTTTTAAGTCATCGTATTTAAATAATTTTCATATTTGCTGACATGGGTTGTAGGGATCGCCCATGGGTTGTCTTGTGGGTCAAGTTATTTAATTGGTTTTTATTTATATTTCTTATTTGGTCTTAAATTGGTTTTGAAAGTCAAAAGTAGTTTTGGTAGTTTTCTTTTCCAGTTCTAGTTAGTTTAGGAAGTCTCTTAGCCCTATATAAAGCCATGTAATGTTTCTAATTTCATAGAATTGATATTTTAGAGAATTTTCAGAGTTTTTGAAACTTCTTGATTGTGTGATGCAATCAAATCCTAGGTGTGATGCCTAAGAGATTCTATGAGTGATTCCTACACCTATCTTCTTCGTCTCTTATTTTGTTCACTTTTAACAGCCAAAAACACTGTTCACAAATCACTGTTCACAGCCTCATAATTGTCCCTAAGACAGTGCCACAATCTCATTTTTTTTTGTACTCAAAACTCTTACCCCTTTATCACCCAACAGAAACCCTTCAAAACCCTAGCCAATCACCCCCCAATGAATCCTAAGCCCTTCCCTACCTATTAGCCTTCAATTTAACCCTTAAAGCCCTAAATTACTTATGTTTAGGCTGTCAAATATCCTCTTTTTTTTTTCTTTTTTTTTAATTTTTAAATCCACCGCTGTCCTACATCAGTCCAAGCTGGTGAAGAGGCAGTTAGGCCTGCTGACGTAGAATGAGGTAGGAGAAGAGAGGGAGAACTCAAAAACAGCACTGCCTAAATCTCTCAATAATATTATTCCAAAACTTAAAATTTCAACGGAAATCCTAATTTTTATAAGCAACAAGAAACCTAATCAACTAATATCTCTTACTAATTTTTATTTAATTAAAACTAAAAGCCATCAATTACATTTATGGGACCAAAAGGTCTTCAGGCCCATGGGTTTACCCTAGGCTTCCATATCCGAAAATTGGCAGCTGTGCTATCACCTGCACTCATGTGCACTAACTTAGTTGAAATGTTTTTTCCTGTCCTGACACACCTGTGCTATACTAACACGCAGCCAGAAGTGTTTTCTTCACTTCAATGGAAACAACTTGTAGAATAAAGCCCCCCAACAGTTATTTCACCTCACATCCTGACACTGTTAGCTTCATGGAACTCATGCTGCCATAGGAAAGCTTGATCTGGTGCTATGAAGCACGGACACCTTCCCGGGGCCTACATATCAGTGTCGGACATGCTATGGACATGTGTCCAACACTCTCCCTAGAGTGTCCCCTTTTTTTTTTGAATTTTTTTACAGGTGGACACATTTTGGATACGCTCGGACACATTTAAGACACTGTGGGGTATAAAACGTAATTTCTAAAACTTCTAAATGGGGCCAAACTGTAAAAAACAAAAACCGACAAGAAGAGAGAGAATCGAAGAAGGAGAAAAGAAGAGAAGAACAGATAAGAGAGAGAGAAGAGAAAGAGGGTGAAGAAGAACCTAAACCTGTTAAAACTCGAGGGTAAAGAACCAGTTGAAGCCTAGAGCGAGGTATGTCCTTCGTTCTTCTTCTTTGCTTCGTTTTTCTTCTTCTTTCTTCAGTTCGCAGGTCGTCTCTCTATTTGTGTGTTTTTTGGCTCTCTCTCTCTCTCTCGTTTTTTTCTCAGTTCGCCTCACTCCGTTTTCGTCTCTCTCCCCTTCTGTTTTGTTTGGTCTCTGTTGTGTTTATATATATATATAGAGCAATGCTGGGTGGCCCGAGAGGGAGTTTGGCTCGAATGGCTCGAAATTTATCTCGTTAGTCGTCCGGGCAGATGTCTGGCGAGGAGGTCGACAAAGGTGACAACCGCGGTAGACAATTTTTCACCCGGTCGTCCGGGCGGACGTTCTGTAAATAAGGATTCGGGCCACTCGAACCCCTCCTTTTCGAGCCCTCAAACATTTCTGATATATATATATACATATATATTATTCTCACTTTTGAGAGATTAAAAATAATTTTTTTTTAATCTTTTTTTCCTTTTTCTTCTCTCTTTGATGAGAGATTAAAAATATCTTTTTTTTTTTTTTTTGGTTTTTATTATGAGCCCCTCTTCTTTTTCCCTCTTTTCATTTTTTTCTATTTTTTTTGGATATTCTTGTTTGCTTAACCTTGAACATATATAAAAGTAATTATTTTTATTTGTTAGAAAAAATAAATTTGTTGAATATGTTTTATTAATTTTATTGTTTTATTGAATGTGTTTATTAATTATATTGTTATTGTAATTTCATAGGAACCAATTTTTTATTCTTAAATATGGCATTTCATGTTAAAGTAATGAAATGTATATTTCTTTTAATTTTTTTTTAGTGTTATTTTACATTTTTAATTACCTTCCAATGAACTTCTTCTTTTTTTTTTTCTTTTTTTTTTTAAATCAATTTTAGACATATAATAAATAAAAAAATTATATATATTGAACGTGTCCCTAGCGTGTCTGTGTTGAAAATTTGCGTCTCTGCATGTCTGTGTTCTGTCCATATTGTGTCCCGTGTCTGTGCCTCATAGATCTGGTGTGTTCTGAATCTCCTCTTTGACTGGAAACTATTGCTGCCCGCCTCATAGATCTGGTGTGTTCTGAATCTCCTCTTTGACTGGAAACTATTGCTGCCCAAAAATTCAACCGACATTATGAAATTTAGGAAGTTTAAATCATTATCTTTCATGTTTTCCCTGCATACAGATGATCATTGGTTATCCATATTCCTTAGATTTTATTTACAGTTTTTTCCTCATGTGTTCACTTTGTTGATCGGATAGTATCATTGAGATGCTTTATGGGCGCCTCGTTGTATGCAGATTGTGATGATCCTCTTCAATGGATAATTAGTGGAAATGGGAAATTTGTAGCCAGACCATTTTACTAGGTGCTGAATTGCAGGGTAGAATGGACTTCCCTTGAAAGGGTATCTGCCATGTTAGGATGCCTTCCAAGGTATCCATTTTTTTTTGGTTTAGGCTGTAGCTTTAGAAGCCATCACAACCGTTTTCGACTTCGGTTGGTGTTGCATGCACAAGATTGCTATGGAGATATTTCTATATTCTGTTGTTACTAGGGAGCTTCGGAATTCGATTTTTCTCATTTTTTGGATTTACTTGGTGATGCCTTTTCTTCTTAATTTGTTGAGGTGTTGGCATCATGGTTGTATTTAGGGAATAGTCATGAACTCTTGGTTGGCTGCCCCCCTTTGCCTCATGAGGAAATGTTTTGGCAAGAGAGGATAGGATATGCTATGAGTATAGCTTATCTCGGTAAGGGCTCAGGTTGGCTTGGTTTGTTAAGTAAATAAACAAGCTTGAGTCAAACTTTTAGGCTTGTTTTATAAACGATCCCAAGCTCGAGCCTTGCAAAGCTCGGGTCAACTCAGCTCATTTGTAACCCTACCTATAAAGTAAATCGAGACAGTTGTTCCTAGATTGAAGAGTGTTATGCTTTGACTTTTCTGGTTGTGTTGAGTGACGGGAAGTCATCTAGATTTGGTGTTATCTTTTGTGGATTTTCTAGATGACCTGGGATCGATGGAAGGAGCTTAGTTCAGTTTGTTCATGATTTTTGAAAAATGACTTGGATCTCCCATCATCTTTCTTTCAGCTTTATGTAGATATATGTTGCTATATTTGTTCTGCGCCTCATTTGCAGTGAATATGCCTTTCCGTACATATTATATTTATGTATAGTGCAGAAACATTGAATTATTGCTGAACTTGTTATGTACATTATTTAAGAAATCTGAAAACTTGTTTAGTAATCTTGTAGGAATTACATTGTGAAAAAATCTTACTTCATCCCCAATAACAGGTAAAATCTACATGTTAAATTTTGAAGTTTAAAAGTATTTGCAATTGCAACTACTACGAAAAACAAAACCTGCATCTTGTACCAAGTCTTCCTTGCATTATGTTTTAACAAACTCTTGTAAGATATAGATATGTATATTATTTATATATTTCATTGCTGGAATATCTAGCAAGTGCATGTGCTACAAGAAACATAAATATTTTTGTGTACTCTGGCAGGATGGCTTCAATGTGGGAGACCATGCGAATACAGCATGAGAAGCAGTCGCAGATTGTGATAGGATTAAAGTTGTTGGACATCTCGCAATCACCCAACGAGACAAGCGAGCACCATCATGAACGGACAGTCCAGCTGTGGGCTGTTGTCCAGGAATGGCATTCACAATTTACAAAACTCGTGACCTATCAGAAGGAGTACATAAAATCTCTCTACAATTGGTTGAAACTGAATCTTGTTCCAATAGACATCGACTTAAAGGGAGAAAAGTATCCATTCCACATCACTTCTTTCCGATCATAGCTCTTCTTTTCTTTATTTGTTCGTGCCTGGAATGAGTATCTTTGAAGGTTCCTGCTGACATAGCGAACTTTTATAGGCCTTTGCAGCGGTCGTACATACAATAATGCAGTATCAGGTAGAGGAGATGAAATTGAGGGACAAGTGTGAGGACACACGGAAAGAGCTTACACGCAAAGCCCGACAGTTCGATGACTGGCAAAATAAATACATGTCGCGGAGGACACCACCTGATGAGATGGATCCGGACAGGGCACAAGATAAAGATGTGATTGCGGAAAGGAAGTTAGTAGTGGATAATGTGAATCAGAAGATGAAAGCGGACGAAGAAGCTTACCAGACACAGTGTATTCAAGTTAGGGAGAAGTCATTGACGAGTCTGAAAACCCGACTGCCAGAGGTTTTCCAGGCAGTGTTCGAATTCTCTTGTGCTTCTTCAGATATGTACAAGAACTTGTGGTCCATTTCACAGTCCGGTAAGCTGAATGAGAGCTTGTAATCAAATTTGGTTTGTGTGCATAGCTATATGCCTAAACCCGAACCAATATATATTATATTGCATAAAATTATATTTATGTTGAGTTGTCTTCGTAAATATTTAGATAGACAATATTACCCTGATCGTGCTATATAAGAAAAATTATGGCAAATCGGACTCATCTTTATACAATTGTATATTTGTATAAGAACCGTATGTATGATTGTTTGTGGTTTTTAATTTGTATTAAAATTTAAAAATAATGTTTTGTTTTTCTCTTTTGTTTTGTTAGAATATTCAAAGATTGTTTATTGTAAACATTTATTATTGGGTGTTTTTTTTTATTTATTATTATTAAATAAAATTTTAATAATGCAAGATTAAAATGGAGGTTATGTTAACTAATTTTCAATATAATGCTAATTCGAATCAATTTGAGTATTGGTTTGGTATTGCATTTAAAAATTTGAAATCTGTCATAATTGATTTGGTTTTAATAATATTGACTTAGGCCTCGTTTGGAAACAGGCTAATTTAGTAACTTTTTGGCTATTTGGCTAAAATGTATATTTGTATAAGAACCGTATGTATGATTGTTTGTGGTTTTTAATTTGTATTAAAATTTAAAAATAATGTTTTGTTTTTCTCTTTTGTTTTGTTAGAATATTCAAAGATTGTTTATTGTAAACATTTATTATTGGGTTTTTTTTTATTAAATAAAATTTTAATAATGCAAGATTAAAATGGAGGTTATGTTCACTAATTTTCAATATAATGCTAATTCGAATCAATTTGAGTTTTGGTTTGGTATTGCATTTAAAAATTTGAAATCTGTCATAATTGATTTGGTTTTAATAATATTGACTTAGTTTTAAATTTAATATTAAATTGAACCAAACCGATGCGTGTCCATCACTACTAATGTGATCAAGTATAACTCATGAGGGAAAAAATTTCAGATTTTTTTGAATATATTTTTCTTGTTTGGTTAGCTTGTACCCAGTGAAAAGAAATAGTTAGGGAGAAGTTAATTTTTTTTTCCCTCAGTTATAATGCATAATTAGAAAAGTTATTCAGAACTATATATATATTCACAACTGACTAACTTTAAATCCAAATCCTATTTCACTCACTTTTCATGTTAAGTTTTCATGATAATTAGAATTATTGTTTTAAAAAGGTGGGAATATTTAGGTGTCTCCCCAACTAGTGGAAAACTGTGGGGAAAATCAAGGTGCAATGCATTTTTAAAAAAAAATATTTACTGTCCTTTCTCCCCTCAACTTTCTTTCTCAACCCCCTCAACTTTCTTTCTCAACCAAACAAGACAAAGGAATATATTTTTCTTACATTTTTTTTCCCCCTTCCCCTTCTTACTTCTTCCGTCTCAAAATATTAATCTCATATTTTATTTTTTATTATCTCAAAATATTATTTCATTTTCAAAAATTAAGAACTAAAAGAATATGAATTTCCTATTTTGCACTTTTTTTTTTTAAATTCATTAGTAATATTTTTGAAGTGCAATAAATGTAATACTATAGGTAATTTTAAAAAATTAATATGTTAATACTAAAAAAAATTAAAAAAGAAAAAGAAAAAGAAGGAGAGGAAGATAGAATCCCTAAATGAGACTAATATTTTGAGATGGATGGAGTACTAATTACCATTATTGATCACAGTAATTTGATTAATGTGAGTTATGACTGATCTCCAAACATTCCTCAGATCAAAACACATCAAATATTTCTTAAATCTTGAACTCTATATATTGATAGTTAAGAGCTGAATTTTCTTCGAAGTGAAGTAGGATTGAGCCAGTCACAAAACAAAATACCAAAATTTGAACATGTTTTATAATTCATTTTAATTCGCCATTTTCACCCAAAATAACCAAAATTTACCAAGAAAAGCAACACAACTTCCCTACTTTCTTTCAAATAATTTCCTAATTCGCCAGTGGCAACAAAGTTCCAAACCAAAAATAGAACTTCACATCTTTATAAACAATAAATGCAAGTACTTTCTCATTAGGGAGACCATTTTTGATTTCATGGAAGCATTTCCTTTACAAATGGACAAAAACTCTTTTGCCCTTTGAAACTGTGTTATGGGAATTCATTATCTGAATTTTCAAATGAGACCTTCTTGTCAACTTTGTGACAAATTGTCATCTTTCATTTTTTTGGAAAGAAGCATATCTATTGACACCTGGAATTCAACTGTTCACCCTGCGAATGTTTAGACTCTTCAAACAGTAAATCACGTCATACTGAGCAACAAAAAAATCTTCTTCGGTTCTGTGTTTCGCTGCGTAGAGTCATTCTTCCAGCAGTCTTCAAAGGGCTGGCTTTGGCCAATCGTTTTGCTGCAAAAGTTAGAAAGGGAACTCTTTAAACCAATGTCATTTTCATTCTTCTAAGACAATAACAGGAACCATGCCGGAATTTTTAACAAATCAAGCAACCAATTGCGCTCCATTTGTTTCTGAGAAAAACATTTTTTATGGAAAACTTATTTCAGAATATGTTTTTCAAAAAAAAAGTTTTCCTATATTTAGTTATCGCTGAAACTAATGTACGAATTGTAGTATTAGTAGCGCTGGAGTGGCGGCGGCAGCAATGATGGTGGCAATGGTAGTGTGGTGCAATGACTTTAGTTCAAAAAACGTTTTACTTTTTAAAAGTGAAAAACATTTTTTGTTCAAATAAGATTATTTTCAATTGTACTAAACGCCAAAAAATGTGGAAGGCATTTTCCAAAAAAATGTTTTCTGCCTAAACAAATGGTGTATTGTATATTGCTTTTCTTATTTCTTCTTTCCCTCCCTTCGTTGGGTGGGGGACTTTGGCTGTTTAAGGCTATATTTGGATCATGAATTTAGGTAGGATTTGGAAAGAAAAATGAGAAGGAAAAGAAAAGGTGAGGGAAAGAGAAAAAAAAAAAAAATTAACTTATATTTCATTCACATTTTCTTTTCCCTTTTCCAAATCCTTTACTCATATCATATCCATAATCCAAACACACCCTAAGTTGATTGGCCTACATTGCATATATCTTGAAGTTTAATCTGTGATGGCTTTGATGGATTTGCATCAAATAGAAAGAAGGAAGACTGCCCCCCACCAATACCAAAAATAAGAAAGAAGAATGTCCACATTGTGTAGGATTTGCTATCAGTTAAGAAAAATAAGTGAGAATTTACCTATTTCATAGAAAAGATTATTAATGTTCATGGCAGTTTTAGCAGACGTTTCTATGAAGAACATCCCATTTTCTTGGGAGAATTGCTCACCCTCCTGCAAGGGTAAAAGAAAATAGCTTTGCATAAGAGGTCCAAAAACCAAAAACCAAAAATAAACACCTTGTGCTGCCGATAGACTAAACATGAATGGATTAGATATCCCATCAAAACCACAAAAGTAAGTTCGGTTAAAAGGAAGATTTGAACACGATACTGTTGTGAGAAAAATTCTAGGAAAAATTGACACCAAGCTATCATATAACTATTTGTTGATAATATACTAACTACTAAGAAGCAAAGACACTCATAGAAGTAGTGACGATGTTTGACACATCAAACACTAGCAACTCGAGGACACTCATATAATATATGTGCCTAGTACCTTATGGACATGTCCATAATTCAAAAAATAATTACAATATTTTGTCCCAACTAAGAGTTCCTTTATTTTAAAGAAATTTTGGCACAATACACATGGCAACAAGTCAAGCACGTTCACACTTTCAATAAAGGATAGAAACGAGTATGTCAAAACTATAGAAAGAGAGAAATAATAAACGGTTGTACCCAGTGCACAAGGCTCCCACTTCTAGCAGCGTGTAGGAGGAGGTATTAGGGAGGCAACCTTCTCCACACATTTTGTAGAGGTTGGTTTCTGTGACTTGAACACGCCACACAAAAAGCTATAGGTGGATGGCACTTACCATCACTCCAAGTCACGATCTCTTAAGATACTACTAGTAATGTATGTAATATGATAATCAAGTCTATCCAAAGGAGCTCGAGATTAAGGTTATATTCCTTTTTGTCATTGCTTTGGGTGTGTGTCTTGTATTCTGTGGGACCTATCCAATTAATGATGTTTTACATTTAGTTGGATTAGATTGTAGAATTTGGAATACACTAGGAGCCCAATATGTGTAGGGTTTTATTAATTGTATGGGACTAAGATTCTATGGTTTCCTTATAAATAGGGAACCTATAAGAATTCTAGAGGTGTGAGATTGGGTGGAGGAAAAATAGAGATGTAAGGAGTGAAAGAAAAAATACCTCGAGTAACAGGGTGAGCAAGGGCTCAACTACTGTTGAACATGGGGTTCAGGTAGTGGTGTGCATTTTGAGTATTGTGGTCATTTCACATGTATTCTTTAATTTATCATATAGTTGAATATCTCTCTCTCATGGATGTAGGCAATTTGGGCCGAACCACGTAAATCTCCACGTGATTATAGTTTCTCTCTTTGATGTGTGCATGGTGTGATTCCATTTGCATTGGTGGGATGTGAAATAAATCCCAACATTGCTAACCTCACTAATTGGATTTATGTTCGACATTAGACATTATGTATATAAATCCTTCCTACACCCACGTCTCATCTTTAACTGGGAGCTCACATCTTGTGAAGTTTCCTTTCTTTTTTCAATACAAGTGAAGTTTCCTTTCAAAATAGTCGTGATCCTCTTTTATCATCAATCACCTTTACTAAAAGGGGAAAAAAAAAAAGAAAACAAATATTGAAAGCTTGCATATACCTCAGTCTCCACCTCTCTGTCCTGTTCCAAGTCAGACTTGTTTGCTACCAATGCCATTACCAAATTTGGATTTCCTAGAAACAATTAAAAGAAAAATAATTAAATGATCCATGCAATCATCCTAAAGATAACCACATAGAGAGGTAGACTGTGCGTAGTTGATAATTATAGTCAGCAGTCTTTATAAGATACTAAAATCAGGTAAATAAATTCAGAAATAAAAGGACTTGTCAAGTTGAGAAAGAAAAGGCAGAAAGAGCACCTCTTTGCAAGTTCATTGTGTTACCTTGTTTTTTCAGTTCTTCAACCCATTTTTTGGCTCGAACAAATGTATCCTGGAGAGGAACCACATTACCATTCAAAAGGGTTACACTTTGAGAGATGAACAAATAGATCAAACATACGACAATGGACAAAATAATATATGTTTAAAAGATTTGACGGCATCAGTGATGATTTATAATCACAATCATAATCAATATTTGAAGCATAAGAAATCAGGTTACACAAATATTTTGATTGTATTTTATAGACAATCAGTGATGATTGTGCTTTATTTTCACTCATTTGATGCCTACACAAAATTCAGGAATCAAGAGATTACTTTGCCATCATATATACTAAGGCTATCACAGTATTCATCTATGTAAGAAATTAGGTTACACAAATATTTTGATTGTACCTTATTTTCACTCATTTTTCTATTTTATATGAGAGATTAAGAAAGATGATATTTTTAAAATAGAAGGGAATTTATGCTATGTTGTCATAAGTTGCAGCCCTTAAATGATGTGTGATATTATTTCATTAAGAACAATGTATGCCCATACTGATGGGCAATATAGATTTTGTTTGATTACCATCTTCTAAGTCTCTTGTTGGCATACAAGGTCAATAAGCTTTTCATGCCATTGAGAAACTAAAATTTCAAAAAATAAAAAATAAAAAAATACAAGAATTCAATCAAATTACAAAAAAAGAACTTAGACTGTGCAAATTACTAGTTTAAATAAACAACTGAAAGGATCTTAAACTTTATTGTCATATTGAGAATCATGTCATAAATTGAAATTCTAATTTTGCAAATCATGAATCGAATTGAATTGAAATCATTAAGATTCAGTACAAACTATTTAAAAAAAAAAAAAAAAAATTAAAAATGAAGATGTTAAACATGAATATATAAAATGAATGCAATAAATTGATCTTGGCATGTGCTATAAAATAGTTCTTAACAAGAACATGAGCATACCATCTAACTGGGAAGTCATTACCTTTATAGTAAGAGATGTGGGTCCAAATCTCACTAACCATAAAATTATTCAAAAACTATAATACAATCTCCATTGAGATTAAAAAAATGGACCTAGGAACCCTATATAGAGCAATATAAGAAGAAAGAATTAAGTGAAATCCTCTATTTTAAAACCTAAAATATTTTAAAAGGTGTATATGCTTATTGTTCAAAAAAGTTAAAACAATTGTGGAACCATTGGTCTAAATAACCGGACCCATGTAATATTGAACCATACTTATTTCACTAAAATAGTAATAGAAAATTCATGGGCCTAGGTTATTTTAACCTATCTTTAGAAGATGTATTACAAGATTCTTTTAAGGAAAAAAAAAATGAGGAGAAAGGGTAAGAACAAGTTGGGTTCTGACGGTATCTAATTGGATCCTATTAAAAACTCTAATTACGAAGATAATAACAAATCATGCACAAGTATTGGTTATTTTCATACCAAACACTCTTAGAAGTTGTATTATATCATTTTTACTCAAAAAAAAAAAAAGAGTTAAAATGGGTCAAAATATGTCTAATACAACAGTTTCTAGAATTGCAAAAATCATGAATGAACTATGAATCATGCAATTCACCAATTCACCATAGATTCTATCCCAAAATAAATTCATCTATCGATTCGTATCGATCTATGATAATCGAATCATAAATCGTAAGACTCTGATAACAGTGAAAGATTAATATATTGATCTAGTTATTAGTTGAAACATCCAATCACTTTCTTGCATTTTCATAATTTCAATTTCAACATGATCATATATGAATTAAACAGAAGATGCAGCAACTAAAGATAACAGCAAGAACTCCCAAAAAATGCTACCATGCTTGTGATATCATACACAACAATGGATGCTGCTGCACCGCGATAATACATCGGAGCCAAGCTATGGTATCGTTCCTGTCCTGCTGTGTCCCATATATCAAATTTCACAGTGGCTTCAGGTAATGACAATATCTGAGTGAAAAATGCTGCTCCAATGGTTGGTTCCTGCATGACACGTCTGTCAAATATACTTGACCACAAACACAAATAAATAATTACTAAAACAAGAAAATAATCATCAGGTTTAAACAAGACATTAAAGTGAACCTGGTTGTCGAAAAATTGGCCTTTGACAAATCTTAATACCAAACTGGTTTTCCCAGTTCCCATGTCGCCCAAAAGAACCTTCAGAAAAATTCAAGAAATAGCTAAGAATTGACGTATTGTGACATTTTTCATTCAAAAAAAAGTTAATCAAGCATAGCTAATCCACAATGCATAGTTATTCAAAATCACATTCATTTCAAAATAGGTCAAAAACCATACAATATGCAAAAACAGAAAACTTCAATACAGAACCAGAGTTTAAAGCCCGACATGAAAACAATACAGGCACTAAATTTAAATAATACCAATGCATCAGCTGAAATTCAGAAAGAGGCATACAAAGATTAAACAACCAGAAACACCTTTTTTTGGGGGGGGGGGGAGTGTAAACACTTGTATAATGTAATAGACATGCATGCATTATTGTCAAATCGTACATCATAATCCAAGAATTATTAAATTAATGAAACACTCCTATAAGCACATCCAATTATTTGTATCTGGACCAAAAATTCCAACCTTTTCAAAGTAAACTCTGCATGGTGAAGTACCACCCCAAATTAAAGGATCATGGCTCTTAAGTGTTGACTGGTGTAGAACATCGTCGCAATTAAGATTTAAACAAGAAAATTCAAAACTTCAAGATTCAGATTGCAAGATGCTCAAGGGTATGTATGTGTGGAGTAAAATTGGGAGTTTTTCTCCAAGAGGCCATGTGCACAAAAATGGTTTGATATCATACAATAGTTACAATCTGAAATAGCATTTCAAAAAATTCTATGATACTATGGTGATCCTACATTCCCTTTATGGTATGTTTATTTATAGAGGGAAGAAAGGGAAGAAAAAAAATAGCTTTACCCTTCCCTATTCCTTTTCTCCATAAATCTCTCTACAAATACATGATCCAAACACAAGATTAGGTGGTAGCTCCAATTTTCTACAGCAGTGCCACGATGTCCAAAGTTGCTCTAATGCCAGATATTGGATCTGTTGAGGCTTGAGGAAAGGACAGGAAAAGGGAATGGAAATGGAATTACTTATATTTGTTCATTTTCTTTTATGGTTAATCAAATAAAAAAAAAAGTGGATTCGTTTAAGAATGCCTAATCTTTTTCTTCTTTGTTTCAACAAAAGAAGAGAATTCAGCTTATTTGACAAACCCTAGAACCAAAAATTGGAGATGACAAGGGAACTACAATGCATCAACAATACAATGTATTAAAGGGAGTGTCAATATAATGTGTTAGCAAGTTCTTTTTGGTTAAGTATTGCAATAGTTTTATTATTATTATTTTTTTTACAAATTTCAGTAGTGTTCTGTGTCTTAAGATTCCCCCACTGCACTCACTTTCCTCCAAATTTGAACATACAAATCATCATATCTATAATTGTGAAACTCTCAACATTAACAGAAAGATTTACAGGGAAATGGAGAAGAAGAACAAAACTGTGTATCTAAACAAAAACAGAGAAGAGATGGGAAAAATATGATTGGGAGGAGATTAGAGAAGAATATGAAAAGGGTAGGACGTACCCACCAGCTTAGCTTGGATAATCTTGTTGCCAGGCCTCGCCATTCAACTCTGATTGATCCCGAAAGCAGGGTCGAACCGATAGAATTTTCTCGAGAAGGTGAGAGAAAGCAAGGAGGTTGCTTTAGTAGTTGAAAAAAAACAACCCTTGTTGCAGATTAACATATTATAGAAAGAAACAAAAGGGATTACAAGTAACAACTGGTGAGGAAACAGAGAATAATGAGAGAATGGTAGGTTTGTTTTTGTGTTTTTGAATTCTTTGACTGGTAGTTCCATTCTATGGCATTGGCAATGTCGCACTCTCTGTCTCTCTCTTCAAGTCCCTTTCCATCATCTTAACCTTGGAACTTGGAAGGAACTAAGCCCACTTGGAGGAGGGGTCCCTGCTGTGGACAACTGACAGCTGTGACTGCTGTGAGTTAAAACGGTGGCGTTTTAACTTTTTTTTATTTATTTATTTAATATGAGGGTTCATTAATTCTTCTTTCATTGGAACAAACAAAACAATAAACTTAACAGGGACTCTGTCATCTTCTGGTCCCGCAGTCGTGTAAAGTTGAAAGGGCGTGTTTGTGTTGGACCCCTTTTTTTTTCACTTTCTTGACTCTCTCTTCATTTGATTGGTTACTTTTTTTTTTATTTTATTTTATTTTATTTCTTCTCCTCCAATTACCACCCGTCACGTATCTATGAGATGGTGGTGGTGGGGGTGGTGATTGGAGGGGGTCTCAATCATCACCCTAAAAAAAATTTATTTTATAAATAGAAAATATAATAAAATAAAAATAATTCATGGAACAAATCAATTTATGAAACTAAATTGTATTTTTTTAAAAAGATTAATTTTAAAATTAAAATCAAACAAATTTTTGACTTTTTCAAAATTGGCTTAAATGCATCAAAAGTGAAATTGAAAGGGAAAAAAAATTGTATTTGAACAAATCAATTTATCAAACCATAAGTAAAAAAAATGTAACTTCAAAAAAAAAAAATAGTTGTATAAAAAAATAAAAAATAAAAAAACCCAACTTAAGGCCAAAATATATTTAATTCACATCCAACATCTATATAAAAAAATAAAACAAAATTCTGAGACATTCAAACTTCAAAATCTCCTACCAAATATCCCAAAATCTATCTCAACCATTCTAAATTATCCAAACAAAATTCTAAAAACCTTCAATTTCAATTCTCAAAATAAAAACTACAAAGTGGATCCCCATGTCAATTTTGCGGAGGCGGTTGGGAATAAATAGAAAAATCAAAAGAACTCTCATTTCTAAATTCAGTCTCCATTGAATTGTACCCCACCAGATTAAGTGATATTCCCTAAAAAAAAGAAAAGAAAAAGAAAAGAAAAGAAAATTCATTAGAATAAATTTTATGGACTAAATTACATTACAAACATATATATATATATATATATATATTACTTACTTGAGAACTTTGTGGACTATGTGATGCTTGGAAAGACAAAGGTTGTGATTGTGGATACCTTGGTGAGTATGAATTAGTATCATGTGTGAGAAGATTATACCCATAAGTTATCAATTGTGGCCAATAGAAACTCCCACCATCCTACTCCATAAAACACCATGAAAAGTAAATACACTAATACAATGTAGTCTAAAAAATAAACAAAATAACATAAAACAAGAGCTAACCTGTGGTTGACTTAAAGATGAATTTTGAACATTTGTGATATTGCTTGATTGACCAATAATCTACATAAGTTGTTAAATTTATCAATACATTACACAATTTATAAATAATAATAATAATAATAAATAAATAACATAAAACAATAGCTAACCTGTTGTTGGCTTGAGGATGAATTTTGAACATTTGTAGTGTTGCTTGATTGACCAATAGTCTAAATAAGTTGTTAAATTTATCAATACATTACACAATTTATTAAAAATAATAATAATAATAAATAAATAACATAAAACAATAGCTAAATTGTGGTTGGCTTGATGACGAATTTTGAACATTTGTAATGTTGCTTGATTGACCAATAGTCTAAAGAAATTCAAAAAGTTATCAATACTTTACACAATTTATAAAAATAAATGCATGTCATTTGAAATTTTCAAAGTACATAGGTAATACCTTACTAAGGCGGGTAGGTTGTGAAATAACTTTTGTCTTCTTATTCATCATCTCATGCCAAGGTTTTAATCTACCTCTCCCTTTGTGTCCAACATCTTTCTTCTTTATGCCCTTAACTTGTGCAAAGTTGGGGTCATCCACATCTAATTCATTGGTACCAAAATTTCCAACTCCCTTCATCATATTATTTACTTTTACACACAATTCCTTAATTCCCTCATCAACCAATTGATAGGCAGGTTTGTGCATAGATGCTTGAGTTGCTAGTTTCACCATTCTTGGACAAAGATCTTTATAACGTGCTAATATTAACAACTTCGGATCATCCTCATCCACTACAACATTTTTCTCTTCAACTTCACAATCTTTTGCATCCAATCTCCATCGGCCTAATAAATACCTTTCGGGAATTTTCATAATATTCATTCTATCAAGTGCTTTGATTGCATGACTACATAAAATTCCAAAGTTCTCAAATTTCTTACAAGTACAATGTATTTCTTGACAGCTTTTTTCACCTCTTAGTCCAGTAACTTCCATCCTACCCTCCACAATATACTCTTTACCATTACCATACAAGCCAATCACGCACTTAACTTCTCCTTCCAACTCATGGAATTGCTTCACTTGACAACAAAGGGACGTATCCAACTCACAATGAAATAAATCAAAGATAGGAGGGGTGTATAAACTCGCAACCTAGATTAAAATGGGAGATTTTTTCAATTTCATTCTTGGCAACTTTTGTCTAGAATCATATATTGCAGAAATTTTCTCATACCGCTTATCTACAACAATCCGATTGAAGTGAGTAAAGAATTGAACAATGTTATAATCATCTTTCAAATATCTCCTTAACGTTCCATTTAGACTTTCACTAAGTTGTGTGCTTCGCATTCCTCCAGTAAATACCCACATCACATACACATGCGCCCACTGCTCTCTTTTTCTCCAAGTTCTTTTCATCTACTCATTCTCTTGCAAGTTGTATTTATCAATCAAAGAATTCCAAGCTTCAATTAATTCATGCTCATTCTCGTAGTCATAAATGCAAGCTTTTAAATCGCTACTAAATTTTGAACCACTCTTGAACAAGTAACCTAAATGCTTTAAAGCATTTTGCATTAGGTGAAAAGTGCACAACCCATGAAAAACCTCAGGCATGATTTGTGAAATTGCCTTAGCCATTGCTTGATCTTGATCTGTGAAAAAACTAACAAGCTTTTTTCCTGACATTGCATCAAAAAATGTTTCAAATAACCATTCAAATGACTCTGTAGTTTCATCATATAATAATGCTGCACCAAAAATCACTGTCATTCTAAAGTGGTTAAAGCCACAAAATAAAGCAAGTGGACGGTACTCTTTATTTGTTCGAAAAGTTGTGTCGAATGACACCGCATCACCGAAAAGCCCATAATTTGTTATCATCTGATGATCAGCCCAAAAAATATTAGTAATCATCTCATTTACATCCAACTGAATGGCATAGTAAAAATATGAATTTTCTGCCACTTGCTGCTGGAAACATCTTAACAAACTCTCTGCTTCACCATACTGCAAGTTTCGCTGTCTTTTTGCATGTAAGTAGGTTTTCTGATCCTCCTGCGTGAACCCTACAAACTCATTCCCTCCTGCTATAGCACTAATAAGCTCATGTGAAGCCTTAAGAGATATTCCAGTCTCATCAGCTATATCTATTTATACCCTAAGCATCATGTACCTTTCTCTGAGATGGCATCAAATGAGTACATTGAGGAAGATGCAAAGGGTGGTTGTGGTTGTTATCAAATTTTGACACAATCCACTTCGACAAGTCCCGCTTAAAAGATATATGCATGAATGCTTTACAATTTGTTCTTGTCTCACTTCGAGGATTTTTTATCATCGTGTACCGTTTATCTTTTTCCCTCTCTCCCTCCTTACAACAAACAAACTTTCTACTAGTCATAACACCATCTTTCTTACTTTTGTTACAATAATCTCTTCTAATACTAAACCCCACAATTCTTCCGTATTCATTATAAAACTCATATGCAGCTTCTTCTGATGGAAACTTGTAACGCCCTCACAATCAACCCATTATATATATATCATTGACATGCATTATTTAAAGAAAACAATTTATTAATTCACTCATCAGAGTATTACTAAATAAAAGCTTTACATGTAACATCGAATAAAATGCCCTACAGGCTTACATCTTTCCAAGCCAACACTTGGATACAAAAAGATGAGTTCTAACTCAATACAAGAAAAGCCCTAGGCTTGGATGTTTACATGTACTAATAAATAAAGACAATTAACTAAAGATAGTCTTCAAAATCCAAGTCCCTTCCAAGCTAAGTCCTTGGAGGCAGCTTATCACCTGAACCTGAAAATGATGTTCCCATATAGGGTGAGCCACAGCCCAATAGAAATATACTAAGCCAAATATAAGCATTGAATAAAGCAATAGCATTCAATAGGTGGTTAACCAAGATAATCAATTACATCACTATACAGTTTCATGACATTAATATCTAAGACATGTTTTACTTTCCAACATTATCAATATGGCTCAGAACCTGGCCAAATTTACAACAGTGAACTATATATATATATCAGATTCACATTCTTCCAATGTCAACAAACAAATGAGACTCAAGCTCAAATCAAAACACTTCATACTTCCAGATTGATACACATTTTAGTGATGTATCAATAAAACACTTCTATATAAATAAGCACACATAAAAGTGATGCTAATGGAGTCCATCCCCTATCTCCTCCCAAACAAAAATGCATATACAATGTATTAAACACTCGTCATATACAACACACAATCAATACATGTATTTTCTGTATTAATTCAACAGTCTAAATCAATGACTTAACCAATGTGATTAGTTTCAGTATTCCTAATCCACATGCAATGTCTACAACAATCACGACTATCCTCCACCGATAGCCCAAAAATAATATATATATATATATATAGATAGATACACATACCAGTTTGTTGAACAATAATGGTCTGTAAATTCAGCAGAAGAACGGTGAAGCAAAAATAGAAAACACTGTTCAATCTGTTTGAGAGAAGACAAAAATGTTAAAAAATAAAAAAATAAAAAATAAAAGCTAACTTTTCACTCCATGTAAATAGAGACTTTTTGCTTACAGTGAAGATGACAGCATCCCTATTAGGTTTATTGTTTTGTTTGTTATAGTGAAATAAGAATTAATGAACCCTCACATTAATTAAATAAATAAAAAAAAAAGTTAAAACACCACAGTTTTAACTCACAGCAGTCACAGCTGTGAGTTGCCCACAGCAGGGACCCCTTCTCCAGCCCACTTTGCGGAGGAGTTATTGCTTGCTCCTTGAGCAAGTTTAGTGGTGTCCAATTGGGCAAGGATAACTCATCTCTCCGTACTCCTAAATATCTTTTTTGTGGGTTGTAAAAGCATCCGCATCAAATTAACTAAAATCATTTTTTTGCTAGATTATTGATATTGTTCATCAAAAACAGACTGCATCAGTCTTGTTACTGTTCTTCGCTAATATACAAATGTTATAGTACCTCGCTACAACAAGCGAGGTTCTGTTCATTGCTATAATAGGCGGAGTTGTGTGTTACCGGACGTCTGCCGGTCAACGGCAATTTTTTTTTTTTTTTTTTTTTTTTCGGCCATTTTTTTTCCCTCCTCCAGTTTTACCTTTTGTAAAACATAAGAATTATTTGGTTCATAACTCATCAATTTAATTATAAAAAAAGAATAACAAATATTTTAATAAGATTGAGTTAAAATAGAGAGTTTGATGTAGTGGGGTGACTAGCGAAAATAGAAAAATGACTTTTCAAGTTATAATTTGACTAAAATTTTGAAGAACCTGATGCTCTAAGCGTGGTACATATAAATGATTCCAAACGTTTATTTGGTCTCGTAATAAATGATATCTATAGTCTATTTTATAAAATAAAATATGATTTATTTATATTTATGTATGTTTGATGAAATTAATCTTTTATATGAATGATCTATAATGTGAGACTTATGAACTGGAAAGGTTAAATCATCAATCTTATTTTCAATTGGGACCCATTTGAAGGGTATGAATGTATATGAATAGATGAAAGTATGGAAGGGAGCTCGTCCCAGACAATAATCCTTCAACAAAGTTACAAATTTTTATAATAAAAGTGAAAGCAATTCTATATATACATTGCTAATTATCTCAGTACACACCATGGCCCTTTTTGTTTGGGGTTATAGGGAGGGGATTGAGATTGATAGTGAGGTGGGACTACTATATGAGGTGTTTGTTTTAAGAGATGGGGAGGGGACTACTAATCCCTTGGTATTAGTAACGGCCTTGGAAGGGGATTGGTAAGGGAGAGGTAGAGATGGTATTAGAAAAATAGTGAGGGGATTAGAAATTTTTTTATTTATTTTATTTTTTATATATTGGGAATTTTTTTTTAAATATTAATGTTTAATTTTTTATATTTTTTTTATTTATTTTATTATTTTATATAAAAATAATTTAACAATTCCTCACTATTAATCCCCTCACTATCAATCCCCTCACTAACAATCTCCTCACTATAAATTCCCTCACTATAAATCCCTTCCATTCTATCTCTGAAAATAAACGGGGCCCATGACCTTTCTTTTTTGCTTAGATCACATCACACTCAAATTAAAAGCTTTAATTTTTGTTTGATACATATCACTAATTTTCAAATAATACCAAACTATCATTCGTCATTTCTAACAAAACCCTAACCCTAACAACTACTACCAATACCAGCCACCCTCTACCCTCCGACCATCATCCCTTCAACGGTCTCCTTACCTTCCTGTCAATGGCATCAACCACTTCATCATCTCTTTCTAGTCCTTGCCACTACAACCACCGCCAACTCTCTTCTTCAGCCTCATTGCACCTCCCCTCAACTCTGTTGTCCACCCATTTATCGTCGTGCACCGTTTTTCGTTCTGTCTTACCCTCTACAACTGACCCCGTTCCAACCCTTTTTTTTTCTTCTTCTTCTTCGATTGCTCAAACCCTAGATCTAGAAACCCAAACCCTAGATCCTAATCTCTCTCTTCCTCTCACAGGACTACGTTGCGATGGAGGGTAACCGCAAGAGGTTGTTAGCAATGGTGGGAAAGTGGCCGATGGGGGTTTCGAGTTGTCGTGGAAATGAAAGGCTGTAGAAAGGGTCGCCGACAATGATAGTGGCGGATGCTGATGGTAATGGTGGGGTGGCTGTGAAGGACGGATATGTATTGAGAGATTTAGAGATGTACTTGAGAGATAAGATGGTCACTTGATTAAGGGATAACAATGTAGCAAGAAAATTAGGATGATGATGGGCATTGAGAAAATTACTGGTGCACAAATTGAGATTCCGTTTGGTAAGCTTCTCAAATTATAGTTCTACCTATTGAGTTGAGTGTAGTGTTTGTTTTGAGTTTTCAAATCATAATTCTACACCCATTTCTCAAAACTCAATTCAAAACATAATCATTACTTTTCAAAACTCTTAACCAAACACATAATTCAAAACTCTTTTCAAAACTCAATTCAAATCAATATTTTAATTTTTTAAATATTTTAAAAATATTTTAATTTGTTAAGATTTTAAATATTTTAATATTTAAATATGTTACGATTTTTTTAATTTTTTAATTTTTGAATATTTTTAAATATTACGATTTAAATTTTTTAAATTTTAAAATATTTTATAAAAATAAATTCAAACTCTATTTTATAAAAATATTTTTAAATATTTTAATTTTTTTGTTAGGTATTTGGTTACGATTTGAGTGTAGAGTTGTGAAAGTAGAATGGAGTTTCGAGTTATGTGTTTGGTTATGAGTTTTAAAAATAATTTCTTAACTGAGTTTTGTTTTATGTGTTTGGTTATGATTTGAGTGTAGAGTTGTTTTTAAATTTAAATTATTAAAATTTTTTGAATATTTAAATTATTTAAATTTTTATGAGTTAAATTTTTTGAATATTTATTTTAATTTTTTACTTATTAATTTTTTTAAATTATTTAAATATTTATGATTTAAATTTTTTGAATATTTATTTTGAAAAAAAGTTGTTTCCTTTGTAGTATTTTCAATTAAAAAAATTGATTAATGTTATTTTCTGTTAATAATAAATTTTTTTAATTGAATTTTAAAAAGAGTTTGGTTATGAGTGTTGATCAAAATTTTCAATAGTGTGAAAGTAGTGTGTTTTGTTATGAATTATAACAATTTGAATTAAGTTTTGAAAATTCTTTCCAAAACTTATAACCAAATAAATTTTCTTACTTCACATGTCAAATTAAACTTTCAAAACTCAATTCAACACTCTATTCAAAGTTCATAACCAAATAAATTTTCTACACTCAAATCATAATTTCAAAACACATAAACTCAAATTATAATTCATATTCTCAAATCATAGTTAAAACATCTTCCTCAAAATACAATTCATTTCCTCAATTCTCACACTTGAGTAAGCCACACAAGACACACCATTTAGTTAAGGTACAAGTCAAAACAAAATGTACTATTTTAATTAATTTTTAAATTTTTTTGCAAAACGACAATTTAAAAAGTAAAGAGAAAATTTGACTTTTTTATAATGATTTTTGACTTTTGCTAAAATAATCTATTGCTAAAACGCCATATAAGTTATGAAAACAGAATTGAAACATATTAACAATGATTATTTGATTTTCAAAATCATTTTTTTAAATTTTTTTTAGCCAATATTTTTTTTTTCATTTTAATTATGGCTAAATTACAATAAACCCCTTAAACTATGGCACATTTATATTTTGGCCCCTGAACTTTAACCTCAACAGTTATCCCCTTGAAAATATTATCTTATTAAAGTTA